ATTGTCTTATGTCAAAACCAAACTTCTGAACAAAGGTCTAATTATTTGCCCCAGAAATAATTTTCTTAACAAATCTGAAGTCCTCTCTGACCTCCACGAATTGTTTCAAAAAATAAGACTCAGAGAATTACTTTGCAATAAACCCAGTTCTTCTGATCACTAACCTACTCTTGCCATAAAGAGAAATCATCTTGGATACCTCCTACTAACAGAGAACTATATTTGGAAAATTAATTAAAGCTGTTGAAAAATACATCATCCAACTTTGAAATCTTTCAAACTCGTTTATATATATATCTACAAATCAAAAGAATAAACCGCACTTAAGGATTTTAAATTTAACACAGATATTACATTAAAATCCGCTAAGAAAGGTGACACTATTGTTTTTGTTCAATAAGAAAGACTACATTACTGAAACTGATCATCAACTTTATGTCTCTAATTTTTATAAAACTAGTAAGGTTCCTACAAATTCCCAAGTACCATCAAATACAAACTTAAAGCAACTCCTTCAAACTAAACAATTCGAAAAACACCTTCCAGTGTTTGACACCCAAACAGGCTTATCCAGGGAGATTTTACAGTTTCACCTAAATCATGAGCCTTGTAATCAAAGCCGTCACATAAATTTCTAACAGAAAAACGATAATCGTCAGAAATGACTTGTTTCGTTGATCAATGATCACATCAAAATCATCCCCACTAAAATTCTTACTTGGAAAGACTCAATTCACTTTAGAAACATCACTGAGGAAAGTAACGATAAAGGACCACTGTCTCCCAATAGTCTTCACTGTACTATGACCTTTGTCTCCTTTTACAAATACTGTACATGATTAAAATCTCGAAACTTTGGAAAGTGTACTTAATTTGTGTAGTCCGTCCAAATTTTACAAATTTGTTGAATTAGCCAAACTTATTTTGACCTTTAATAACTTTGAATTCAAAAACTAGTATTACATCTATCATTGGTACCAAGACAGTTTCTTATATGTATCACATTTATGGGTGATATTAAAAGTCAGATATTAGAGAGAAGCACTGGAAAAAGACACATATCTGAAACATTACAGATGGCATCTTTATTTAGATCGTCGATACTGGATATCTTAAAACTTCTTTTCACATACAAACTCTTTCGATAAAACTATTAAGTATACATTTGACTAGTCTTTCACGCGCATCAACTTTCTTGATGTCACTGTGTACATAAAATACGGACACTGACACTTTCAGATATCTTCATTATCAAAGTTGCTACCTTTCCCACACTGAACGAAATATTACACACAGTCAAACGCATCAAGAAAATTTATACTGACGAAAACAATTAGAAATAACACAATAAAACAAACCACCATGATACAAAGAGATAAACCCGGGTCTAGTCTGATCCTCGCAAACACCAATTGTCGGGCACGATTAGTAATTGGGGGAGTGACCCCCTGGGAATACTGGATGATGATGGCACCATTACTTTGGTCTGGTGGTCAGGGTGCTCGACTCGCAATCTACGGGTTGCGGAAACGAATCTGCATTAACGAACATGCTCGCTCTTTCAGCCGTGGGGACATTACAACGTGATGGTCAATCCCATTATTTGTTGGTAGAAGAGTATCCCAAGAATTGGCGGTTGGTGGTGTTGACTTGCTGCCTTCCCTCTAGTCTATTACTGCTAAATTAGGGACGGCTAGCGCAAATACTCAAAACAAACATAACAAAGAGGATATAAAGACTCTGAGATTGAAAAAGCCTATAACAGTTAATAAGAAACCCTCCTCAAATATCACTAAAAATATCTAATAGAATCTTTCATGGAATTAAGTTCCCTCCGAAAGTAAAAAACGTCATATATTTTCTTCTTTTACCTTGGTCAACCTAATAACCCTATTGTTTTGTTGTTAAGCACAAAGCTTAATACAATGGACTGTCTGTGATATGTGCACCATGGGTATCGAAACCCTGTTTTTGCATTATAAGCCAAACCTTCAGACTTACCGTTGAGCCACGAGGGGAGCTCCTGGTGTTTCCTTCCGGAAAAGTAAAAATGTCGGTGATATTTTGGTTCATGCTAAAATTAACTACACACCCCCACAGTATAGCTGCTGATCTTGTAATAAAGTTCGTTGACATGTAACTTCATGTAAACAACCAAGAAAGAGATAATTTACACTACACGAACACCATCTTTCTCATACAATGTAAGACATGTAACCATCAGTTTATATGCTGGACAAACCCAAACGAACCTTAAGGGATGTTTTAACAATCGTAGTAAATCTTCTTTTAATACTCAAAATATGTTCCTTTTGCTCAAGATTTTAACAAACCTGACCATTCTCACAATTATACAACTTTCTGAGGAATCGAAACTGACTGACTTCCGATCTAAAATATTCTGAGATATGAAATAATCTTACTGGATTACACTTTTAATTTTGAAAACCATTATGTCATAAACCATATTCTCTGTCAGTTAAACACTAAGTTTCAAATTTTAGCTCTTTATTTGCTACCTTTATCTATCTCTCTTACTTATTTCACACATTTTTATAGTCAGTAACACATGTTGAATATTTTATTTATTCTATATTCTAAAACCCTTTTATTTATACCAATTATTTTAAGTTTTTCATTTTTACATTTTCTTCCATTTTACTACTTTACAAGTTTAACTTTTGTATACTGTTTCACGTTTGAGTATGCTGTTGTTGAATGAAATATAAAATAAGATAAAAATAAATAGGTATACATATAAGAAATAAAACTAATAGATAATATTTTAGAAGCCCCCCCCCCAGTGGCACAGAAATATGTCTGCGGCCTTAAACGCTAGAAACCGGGTTTCGATACCCGTGGTGGGCAGAGCAACAACAACAACAACCTTTTAGAAACACGTGTTGGAACTTTTATTCTCTAGTTATTAAAACATTGGGAAATACTCTTCCTTACAGCGATTAGCGACATTTTCATCTATTACACTTCAAATTACCGTTCCTTAGGATTAGTAAAAGCTCTCAGTATTGTTCTGACTTAGAGTTTTTGAGATACATGAAGTTATTGTTTCTTATGTCTAGTAGATAGACTTGAAAGTACATACTCTTAAATTATATTTTGTTATTGTTACTCGAATTACTTGAAATTACTTTCCTTTAAATTATTAGTGACACTTCAAATTAGTTTTCCACATAACTATTAAAACACTTGTAGATACTTTCTCATAGCTGTAGAGAGACTTGAAGGTACTTTTACTGAAAAAATGTTAGAAATGTTTGTAAAACTCACTTCTTTCCTATATGTGTGGCCCGGCATGGCCAGGTGGTTACGGGTTCGAATCCCCGTCACACCAAACATGCTCGCCCTTTCAGCCATGGGGGCGTTATAATGTGACGGTCAATCCCACTATTCGTTGGTAAAAGAGTAGCCCAAGAGTTGGCGGTGGGTGGTGATGACTAGCTGCCTTCCCTCTAGTCTTACACTGCTAAATTAGGGACGGCTAGCGCAGACAGCCCTCGTGTAGCTTTGCGCGAAATTCCAAAACAAACAAACAAACCTATATCTGTTGAGGAAACTAAGAGATACTCGTAATTAAAACTGTCAAAAACACGTTAAACCTACTTTTGTAACTAGTAGAGGTTTCTCAGATTTCTGTTCCTTTTGACTAATAGAAATGCTTGAAATGTATTTTCTTTTCAATTACTTATCGTTTACAGAAACTTAGAAAATATATTTTCGTTACTAATAAATGATTTAATGGTACTCATTCTTATAGCTACTAGAAGTAATTCAAATTAAACAGTCACTGGCGTTGCCATACTATTTTTAACATCACTGAATGTCCTATTTCATAATCAAAAATCATCACTTTTTGCTATCGTGTCCAACGGTAGTCAATGATGCTATTACTATCATAACCACCAACAGCCATTAACATCACTGTTATCATGGCCAATGAATTCACTGATGTAATTATTGTTACAAACACTCGCAACTAAAGATGTTACTCTCTTCATTAAAAAATAGAAGTCTCCAACGTTACTGTTATAACAACCACCAATAGCACACGATAACGTAATAATAACCAACAGAAGTTATTGAAACTACTTTTCTCATAACAATTAAAAGTTATTAATGTTACCAAAAGAAGTTACTGATAACGTTATAGTAACAAAGAAAGGTCACTGAAACTGCTTTTCTCTTAACCATTAAATGTTATTAATGTTACCAACAGAAGCTACTGATAACGTTATAGTAACCAAGAAAGGTCACTGAAACTGCTTTTATCATGACCAGTAGAAGCTATCAATATTACCAACAGAAGTTACTGATAACGTTATAATAACCAAGAAAGTTCACTGAAACCGCTTTTGTCATGACCAGTAGAAGCTATCAATACTACCAACAGAAGTTACTAATAACGTTATAATAACCAAGAAAGTTCACTGAAACCGCTTTTATCATAACCAGTAGAAGCTATTAATATTATAAACAGAAGTCACTAGCATTACTTTTATCGTGATTAAGAAGAATTATTAAAAATATTATTTACTGAAACCAGGCTCTAGTGTTGGTTTTAACTGTGTTTAATAGCAGTCAAGGAAATTACTTTTAACTAACACTGACATCAGTCACTGAGGTTACTATTTACTACAGTCAATAGCAGCTACTAAAGTTGTTTTTAACTTTGAATAGTGCTTAGAAAAGATATCCTTAGACTATTCTAACCAACGCTAGACCACTTTTCTAAAGAGCTTAGGTTTCCAATGTATCACTTTTGCCCTTGCATGACTTTTGATGTGTTATACAACACATTTTGATCAAACCTGATTTTTATGATATGCTATTGTAAAACGGGCATGTTTAAGTGTTGATGAAACTGAAGAATGTCAGCTGTGTTCACGAAGGTAAGTGTACTCGTGTCTTAATAACATTGCAACTACATATTGACTAACTGACGTTACTAACCTAGATCTCCCTTCTCCCCTACCTCCCGATAGCATGCGACTGCCACCCCGTGGGGGCGTCGGGACGAACTTGTAACCAGACTACCGGTCAGTGCCCCTGTAAAGATGGCGTCACTGGAGTAACCTGTAATCGCTGCGCCAAGGGTTATCAACAGAGCCGATCCCCTATTGCTCCGTGCATCAGTAGGTTAACAGCATGTTGCCATGCTTTAGCATGTAGAAACTTCAGGCGTGCAGTACCCTCTACAAATGTTTTCGCAGACAATTATAATCAATTTAAATTTGTAGCTTCCTTTACACTTTATTACACTCAGTATTATATAACCAGATTTGTTAGAAAGTTAAATTCATATATATGATATTATGTAAATTATAACAATATAAAGCTGACCAAACCTCGTTCATCCAGTTCACATTTGAACCTCACCAGAACTAAAGATTCTAGTTAACATTTAGAGGCTACTGCACGTCTACTTCTGTGTTGAGTATTGTAATTATTACATACAAAATAAGCATAAATACTATCACTATCTAAAGTATAAAGTATATTTTAATAGGAATCGTAAGCGATTTTACTTATTTGAAAATGCAGTTTCTCAATTGTTTCTTGTTCTGATCAACATGTATGAGATGACAGTTCTAGGCATGTTTGATTTGTTTTTACAGTGTTTTAACTTTCTGTAATAATTCTATTTTCTCTGAGCATTATTTTGCTGCCAAATGCAGAACATGTGGCATAACTTAGAAAAACAACCTTTTTACAACCATTTATTAAATAAGGACTTTTTAAAGTTATCTATTTTTACAATATTGCTGACACTATGATCTTTTCTAAATAGTGCAATAAGTCCTTAAGTTTATAACTAACATGTACTGAACTAAATATGTGTGTTTTAGAGCAACAGTTTACATAAAACCTTAAAATAATTTATTAAATAACTTAAGATAAGTTTATATGTTGCATAGTCAATATACAGGTAACTTCAAATATGCAGAATTATTATATATAACTGCTAGTACATGAACATACATTTATATAAATAAAACGTTTATTTTAAGTGATTCAAGAATACAATGATTTTTAAAACTTTCTTTTGCATACACGATGAAATAGGTAAGTGTATACTTTGTACTTTCAGTGCAACTCTAAATGATAAACAAACTGATTTGCGTTCTTTTAGATAACATAATGGGATCATTTCACATTTCTAGACTATATACCCTGTCGTTACAAATTTTGTATAGTTTTGTTAACCATTAACTGATACTTCTAATCAGAACTACTTAAATTATTTTATAATTCAGCCGAACCGCAAATTTTCAAGAAAAAATTAAACACTTGTATTAAATAATTTCATTTATTGAACCTAATTTAAAATTTTTGGATTTTTCAGAAATCCCACGCATAGATGTTGTCACTCAGGCTCCCAGAAAAACGACTCCAGGTACGTATATTCAAACAGTTATCTAAAGGGTTTTCAACAACTTGTCTATGGTGTAGAGGGTAGGCCGAATTTCGCCGATTGAGGGCAGTTTTGTACTGACAATCACAACTCTCCTGAACTGTCAGTTGCACTTCACCCTCAGTTCTATAGAGGATGCGAGAAAGTCTTTTGATTGTCAGTTTTAAGTTGGCTATAACCAGTAAAATTTCAATTTATCTTTTTATCTTCGCTTTCTAAGCTTGGAAATTAAATTTACATGATTCTTACTTTACCTTTTAGCCTAATGAAGAAAAGGGCTATTTTACCTATTCCTGACGTGGTGCTTAAGCCGATTCTTTTGTCTAGAAGTTTCAGGTTAATCCACGTAAAGAAGGGTAAATGAGCTGTCTGTGATACAGCGAAAACCCTGCCATCTATACCATTCCAGTAAAGATCAATTTTTTCCAGTTGTCTCAAGGCTTTACTGTGCTTTTCATTACATTAATTTCAAAGATTCCCTTGATTTTTTCACATTTTGGTGTGATAAAATGTAAGTCAAGTATATTTTGATTAATATTTAGTTATAAGAATATCATCCGAATCATAAATAACTTTAGAATACAATGTTTTTGCATTTTTTTAAATATATTGAAATTTAATTTTATTATTTATTTGATATTGCGTTATTTTAATTTAAAATTTGGATTAGAATTTACGATTTAAAGATTTAAAATCAAGACAATAAAAATTTTTAAATCTTTAAAAGTTTTTCGTTTAAGGTAAAATACCAAGTGAAAGAAAAAGGCTTTATAAATTAAAAAAAAAATTACTAATTTTATTCGTTAGGCAGACTTTGCAAATGACTGCAAATCGAAGTAAAACCCTTCACTGAGATACTGTCGTAATTTTATTTCCATATGGTACACATATTATTACAGTATAGTAGAGTACTTGATTTTGCAAAAACTGACATATTATTTGATATGCATCTTAAATATGATTTGCTTTTCAGATAATTGTGGAAAATGCAAAAAACGGAGCAAACGTGTGAATCAGAAGAGATACTGCAGAAGGAACTATGGTAAACATTATTATAAGATTTTTTGTATTCTCAATTTTGCACGAAAAGTGCATACGTAAACATACTTGACGAATAAACTTAAGAATTTCTTGAAATTCAGACGTTAATAATATTTTTCTCTCTAGTTCTTCCCTTCTACCGCCAATAATTTGTCAGAAGCTTAATCAGAACATGAAGAAGGAGCCATTACAGCAAAAAACAACTTTTATACACTTTTATACCAAATATAGTTTTATATAAAGACGAGTTAAACGTCTTATATAATAACTGTATGTCCTATAATAAAATTACTGTTTTTTAACGCAAATCACCATGCACAATGCTTCATCTAAACAAGCGTAGCTCCACCTACGTATTTTACTAACACAGCTGCTTTTCTGTGCTCTTATGTGACCTCGTGTAAATTAGAGAGAAAATAACAACAATCCATTCCATGAATAAAGTCACAAAGCTATTTAGGTCATATGGGAATCAACCTTTTCCTGAGTTGGAAATGGTAGGGATTTGAAGTCTCAAGAAATAATGAGATACTTTTCTGAAACAAAAGCCCTTCATCATACACGTAATCATGGAAGTGAGAAGAGAAAATCCTTTCGAAATAAATCTCCAGGTTTGATATTAGGCTTCGTCTTTTTTTTTTCCTTTCTCTTAGGAACAGAAAAAAAAATGCGTTTTGGGAAAATTCAACTTGGCGGCTAGTACACTTTTATAACATACAAAAGAGCACTCTAGATCTTTGAGATGTTACATTCAAAACCCGTGCTTGGAAATGTAATTACTCAAAAAGGCAGTTTGTGAATGTGACATACGCCGAGAAAGACACAACGCTTATCAGATTAATTGCTATAAAAAACGTACATAGAAAATGATATAATAAGCTAACAATAAAAACATACTACTTAGAAATTAAAACGTAGGTCTTTCCGTTTAGGTTATCACTAATGATTCAGCCAAAGGTTTAAAAAATTAACGAAATATAATTTACGTTTACATCTCCTATTGATAAGCTATTTTCTATATCACTCTAAGTTTGTTTGTTTGTTTGTAATTAAGCACAAAGGGCTATCTGTGCTCTGCCCACCACGGGTATCGAAACCCGGATTCTAGCGTTGTAAGTCCGCAGACATACCGCTGTGCTACTGGGGGGCATCACTCTAAGACTTAGATACAAAGTATCGGGGGTTGTTCAATATCGCTGAACTTATAACCATCGTTATAAAAAGTGAATCTTACGCTGTATCATATGAAAATTCTGTTTGATAAGATTCACTTTTTAAACCTTGATGTCTGTTTTTGTTTATTAGTATATAACTTTTCAGTATTGAACATTTATACAAAAACGGCTACCTTTGCTAGTATTCATGGAACTACCTGATACATTAGAAACATAATACTCAATAATCCCTTTAATGAAAAATAGTAATGAAATTATTGATATAAATGATTTTTGGCCGCTTTAAAAAAAAAGTGGAAAAAGATAATCATTTTAATTCAAACGATGGTTATAAGTTCACGATGCTGTTTTTGAAGCATAAATATGGTTAATTTATATTAAAATCTACTTGATCCGAAAATTCTTGAAACATAGAGATTCATGTTATTCTGTTTGCCACATAAAATTCCTAGAAAGTGCTTTTCTTCATTGCTAAGGAATTTTATGTGGGGTTAATTTAGCTAAAAGAAATTCCTGTACCTCTATGACATGTAGCAGTGATAGCATTCTATAGAAAGCACACGTGTTTGAGCGCGAGAATTTCTGGAATGATGCGTGAACTAGATGTTCCTGTCAACCAAGAGGGTTGACTAATCTTTTGGAACCAAGATCATTTGTCCTCGAAATAAGCTCTTCGAGCGGAATAATAGAGAAAAATAAAGGTCCAAAGTTAACTTATTTTCAAATTGGAAAGATGTTCTGAATTACCATTATGCGTGAATAAAGAACTCTTTAATCTTTTTAAACATTCCCCGAATACTTGATTTGTCAAGTATGTCAGTTAATGCAACATTAATCTTGATTATTGTTTTTCTTGTCTTTTGCAAATTCAAGAAACTTGGTGAGTGTTTTTTGCAATTAATCGACAGTCTACGAAGTTTGAAATAATAGGTTTAAAACTTTTTTAATTTTATAAATACCTAAAAATCTCTTTGCTCTTTCTGATAGTGTATTAAACATTTCAGTGTTTCACATGAATAAAGTATGACTAAACCTCCTGTAAATAAATATATTTTGTTTCATGAACTACATAAAAAGTGAAAGTATGAAACCTTTTCACAATGAATGAAAGTTTTGAAAATCCTATAGTTTTAAACAAAAAGGTAACTTTATATTAGCTATTAGAATTACAAAATAAAACTAAACCTTTAAAGACGTAAATAACGTAGTTTATTAGTATTTGAATTTATAAGAACATCATTATATTCAAATATAATAGTTTAACAAATAGCAAACGTTTTATTAAAAACATTTACGAAGTAGTTAAGTACTAGTACTTCAAGAACGTAATACTTTATTAGAAAAAAGAACACTAAGACTTTGTTTTCATTAAGTAAATGTACAGCATGAAAATACTGCATTTAATATTACATTAATTTTAAAAGCTTGATAGTCAGCATTTAAGGAACAGTTGAATTCCATTTATCACCAAATTGGGGTCTATTTCATATATAAAGCAAAACACTTCTAATGGCTGAAATAACGTTGCAATAGATCACATTAGATACAATATTTCCAGTATCATAAAATAAATTCGTACAATTTACTAAGTAATATATCCCTCGTGATCTCAAATTAGATTGCATTGCTAAATACCAAATTAGTCACTTTTTTACCATAAACCATTAAAAACAGAAAAATAAAATACTAAATTAGCATTACAGCATGAGATATTAAGTAAAAAGTTCCTTCTGTCACACGATAATATGCCATTATTGTATATAATAATGATTATTCAACGCACCATAGAATTATATTACGACCTATCGGTTTGGTAGAAAAACACTCTGTTTCACAGAGTTACATGGTGTAATGAGTACCAACGTATTTAAAACAGTTTGTGTTGACTAATTGCCTGTATGAGAATAACTAATAATGAAAACATTCATAAGTAATACTATCTAGGTTAATGCTTCTTTTCATGTGTTTTCTGCTTGTTTGTCCTTAGCTATGCTCGCCACAGTACTAGCAAGTGAAAGATACGGACAGAAATGGGTACGGTTCACTCTTCATATCATGCAAGTTTGGAAGTACGGACCCACAAAGCTACGAAGAGGCACAATATTCTACTGGGTCAGGGTGAAACATGTCGACTGCAAGTGTCCAAAACTTAACCTGAAGACGTCTTATCTGATTTTGGGTAAATGTATACATATATTACTGGTATAGATTTTGTGCGGTGCATGTCAGGTAGAAATGTTTTCTCAGTGATCATCAAATTAAACTAAGTAAAGCCAAAATAATATTCATTTATGCTATTAATAATTTACAATCTATTTGTTTATAATTTAACATTCTTTTATGTCGTAGCTGTAGAAGCAGACTTAATAATTAGTAACTTTAATATTTAATACGGATGCTTAACATATAAATCGGAAAATCGCTTGCAGTGGTAATAAAAACACATAATATGAAATGTATATAATTTGATAATTGCTCGACAACACATATCAGATTATATACATTTCATATTAAATGCTCGACAACACATCCTCTGAAGTTAAAAAATTGGAAATTATTACAAATAACATGATTATTAAAAAATATCAGTTATACACTGCTCTGAAGTTTTTACTGAAAATGAAAACATGTTATTAATATATATTTACACGTGTGTGTGTATATATATATATATTCATGTGTGTAAATAACGTATATTTACATTTTGGATTGTTCAATATTATGAATTTATGTTTTGCAGTTTATTCGGCTCTGTCGCAGAGATTTCCTTACAAATTTGTATTTTAAACACCATTTCTTCTTTAATTTACAATTCTCGCGAGTCTAGAATTTGTAATGTGGATCAAGGTAGACCGAAGGTGTTTTTTGTAATGTGGATCAAGGTAGACCGAAGGTGTTTTTTGTAATGTGGATCAAGGTAGACCGAAGGTGTTTTTTGTAATGTGGATCAAGGTAGACCGAAGGTGTTTTTTGTAATGTGGATCAAGGTAGACCGAAGGTGTTTTTTCATCCATTATGGGCTTCGAAAGATACGTGTAAACTAGCTTTTCAGTTCTATATTCTGTATCTCAGAAGCCCTTTGTTCAGTACAACAGAACTCGTCGGGTCTACTGGACGACGGGAGACAAAAGTACAACTGAAATGCTATTTATGTGTACATTAAGTTTTGTCTAGTTTCCCGAATAATCTATTTTTAAGTACGTTTGTCTCAAAGTTGTTATCCCTGTTTTAACTTAAGATTCCAATTAAAGATGTCTTTCAGCTTAATAATTTAATTGATGTTTACTAACTTTTTGTAATATCATAGGACTTGAATTAACTTGATAATAAGAAAATGTTAAAGTTTTATAGTCAAAATGCTCTTAATAAAATTTAGCCAAATTTATTCATATTTTGCATGAGAATATTTCATAAATCAGCATTGTATTTTATGCATCTACTATTAAGAAGGGAAAATATCAAATTTAAGTAATGTTTAAATAATTGGAGGGTATATTTCAGGAATCATAAAGACATTTAATAAAATAATAAGTTAGGACTTTAAACATAAAAGTCTATTGTTTTTGTGGCCCCGGCATGGCCAGGTGGTTAGGGCGCTCGACTCGCAATTTGAGGGTCGCGGGTTCGAATCCCCGTCACACCAAACATGCTCGCCCTTTCAGCCGTGGGAGCGTTATAATGTGACGGTCAATTCCACTATTCGTTGGTAAAAGAGTAGCCCAAGAGTTGGCTTACACTGCTAAATTAGGGACGGCTAACGCAAATAGCCCTCGTGTAGCTTTACGCGAAATTCAAAAACAAACAAACTATTGTTGTTGTTACTGTTGTTAAACACAAAGCTACAAAATGTGCTGTATCCATTCCAGGAATGAATGGAACCCGAATTTTAGCGCTATAAGCTTTTCCCTGAGCCACCGGCTTGCAAAAGAAGAATAATTAAATTGTAGCGAAATGTTACAAGTTCTTCAAATCTCTATAGAGTGATAAGTTTCTTTTTTGTCAGTGTAAAACACTTAAATACACCAGTTCGATATTTTCGTATTATTAAGTGAGAGGCCAGGCGCTGCACAACGGCCAGCGTGCCGGACTGTGGAATTGAGGTTCCGTTGTTCCCGTCCCGTTACCGCCAAAATTAAAATGCGCCCCACACTTTTGAGCCTTGGATACGATATAAGAGTGAGGTCAAATGCCACTATTATGTGAGACAAAAATTGACGGTGTTGACTAGCTGGATTCCCTCTTGTCCATCACTTCAAAATTATGGACGGATAACATTGGTAGCCATTATGTAGCTTTGCACGAAACCCAAACAAGCAAACAAAGCAGTATAAAGTGTATTATCATGAACAGTCAAAGCGAAAAACTGATAAATCTCACAAAAGATTTTAATAATTGTTTTATAACTAACAAATATTAATGTTCCGAACAAATGAATTGACTTAAAAAAAAAGGATCAAAGATTATATATTGTGTTAGTTTCTGTTTAAAAATGTATTTTACAAAAATTCAAAATACCAATTCCCCCCGCCCCAAAAACAAAACAAATAAATAAAAAACTGGTTTGGGGAAAGCTACATACATAATTAACTTCTTCTCTGTATGTCACGTTCTGTATTTCTTGTTTGTTTTGAATTTCGCGCAAAGCTACACTAGGGCCATCTGCGCTAGCCGTCCCTAATTTAGCAGTGTTAGACTAGAGGGAAGGCAGCTAGTCATCACCACCCACCGCCAACTCTTGGGCT